GTCGGCGGCGATCTGTCGTCGGCGAGCGGAGGCGGCATAAAGTGGGCGAAAGGTCTCGGACCCGAGGAGCTCGTACAGGTACTCCGTGCACCACTGCATCCAGTCTAAGCGGTTGTCGATCGTGTGGTCATTGAGCAGGATGTCGGGAAGCCAGTGGGCGGCCCATGCGCGAGCTCGGTCGGCCAGACGTTCTTGAACGATTTCGGCATTTCGGCGAGGCCCGCTGAGCGGCCCCCTGGTGAGCGACTTCGCAGGGTCAAAGGACGGGAACCAGGACAGGAGACGCCGCTTTATGGTGTCTGCCATCGTGTCGGTGTAGAGCTGCTCGTTGAGGGACGTCATGTAGGCCTTCTGCAGCGTGATCTGTGCGGTTCGGCGGCGATGCAGTTCTTGTTGCTGTTGTAGGAGGGCCTGCATTCCAGCACGAGCAGCTCGCTTGTGGATGCCAATCATAGCTGCTCGGGCGCGAGGAAGGGGGCCAGCTGTGCGGGTCAGCCTCTTTAAGTGAGAGCCCTTGCAGTCGGGGAAGAAGGTAGAGTTGATGATGTGCTCGAACCGTTGGGCGATGGAAGACTTGATGGACCAGCACTCGCTGCACCAGTGGCCGCGCTGCACTGCGACGAGGGGGAGCTGCTCGTACGCGGTGTCGCAGAGCGCGTTGAATGCGCCGCGCCAGTCTGCCACCGTGGAGGTGGCTGAGCGCCACATGGTGGCCGCCAGGCAGTTCTCGATGCCAATGGGGACCTCAGCCTTGGTCCAGAGAGACATCGCCGGGATGTCGGACTTCGCGAAGCTGGACGGGGCAACGCGCAGCAACTTGTGGAACGCCTGCAGCTCCTTCTGGAGGATGCCCGCCGAGGGTTCGAATAGCTGGCCTACGTATCCAAGGACCGTGACGGCAGCGACGTTGTACAGTTTGATGCTCTGCTGGATAGGGGCGTGGGACGCGGCGATCTTCTCGATGCGGTCCCACCACTTGACAGCAGGGCCTCGCCATTGGTCGTCAAGAGTGGCGCCAGGGCCGATGAAGAAGCCGAGGTATCTGGCGCTGGACTCAGCCTTGAAGGCGGCCCAGGGAGCGTGGGCGGCAGCAAGTACTTGGCGTATCTCCGCAATGATGTCCTGAGTGGGCAGCGCCCAGGTCGGGACCACGATGCATTTCTTGGCCTGGAGGCACAGGCCCGCGAGAGTCTCCACCGCGATGATGTGCGGCGCGAGCTTGCTGATGTCCGCTAGCCTCGCGAGGATGATGCCGAGGTCGTCAGCACATGCGCTAACCAGACCGCGCTCGATGGCTGAGAGCTCGCTGGTGAGGGCTCTGATGACTGGGTCAAAGACGAGTGCCCAGATCGTACCGCTTAACGGACAGCCCTGATCAACTCCTGACGCTGCGATCAAGAGGGGGCGGCGTGCACCGCCCAGGTCCAGGTAGGAGACAGGCCAGTGGTAGCAAGCCTGAAGCAGGTGAAGCATGCGCCCATGGATGCCCCACCGCTGGAGAACATTCCACATCCAGTGGTGGCCGATGCTGGGGAAGGCGGCCGCGATGTCCATGCTGACGAAGACGGGCTTGTCAGTAGCTGCATTAGGTGAAAGACTATGACGTCGAGCAGCGGCATCCACCACGACGACGTTGCGCAAAAACTGGCGGCCATTGACAAATCCCTGCTGCTCGGGAGACGTCTCGGCTGCGAGGGCGTGAAGCTGTCGATTGGCGGCGGACGCCATCAGCTTCACATCCGAGTTCTTCATTGAGAGCGGACGAAGGCACTCTGGAGCGCGGGTGCACTCAGCATTGCCGCAGGGCTCGTCGCCCTTCGGAAGCATGGCCATGAGGGAGTAGTTGAGGTCGTGAGGCGGTGCGCGTCTGGTAGCGATGTCACGGCAGAAGTCGGCGAGGATGTCGAAGCTGTCGGGAGTACGCAACCATGCTTTGTAAGGAAGTGTGTCGGGTCCTGGTGCGGAGTCGCCAGCCAGGCGAGCAGCCTTCTCGAGAGCTTGGGCGTCAGGTAGGTCGAGGTGGGCGAGCGCGCGTCTGGGGAAGATCGAGTCGAGGTAGTTGGAGAGGGCGTCGTCAGGAACATGCTTTGCAGCAAAGACGGGGGTCCAGTGGCGCACGATGGCCTGATGCATCGTCGCGGGGTCGGTGACGATGTTGGCGACGCCGCCCGCGATGATCTTGACGCCCGTCAGGACGAGCCGCTTGGAGAATGGCTTCCAGAGCTCGCCACGGAGGCCTTCGCGTTTGGCTCGCCGGCGCCACGTCTGACCGAGCTGGACATTGTTGGCGGCGGAAGCGGCTCGCGAGCGTGCTGCAGAGAGGGCCTTGCGCTCGTCACTGAGGCTCGCGTGCGTGGCGTCGGTAGTCGAGGAGAAGTCGTGCATGTCGTTGATGCTGACGGTGCGACCGTCAATCTTCAGGTGCAGTTTGCCGATGTCGGTGTTGTCGATCAGCGTCTGGGCGAGGGGGATGTTCTGGTACCATACAGCTCTGGCGATGCTGCGTAGAGACATGGCCCTGGTCTCCTTTCTGACGGTCCCACTTTGTGATGATAGCTCGGCGGCTGGGATCTTGAGAAGTGCGTCACGGGCTCTGGCAGCGGCAACTCTCATGGCTGCCTTCAAGGCCCTCTCCAGCGCGCAGTGGGAGCGAGAGAGGACATGTCGACCGCGGCGAGCACTCTGGCGACGTGGTGCTTGTAGTGGTCGGCGTCGAAGATGCACGCGGGGATGCCGCGCTCGGTGACCTTCTTGGGCTTGCGGAGACGGATGCGCAAGTGCCTGATCTTATGGTCGCTGACGGGGCCCTTGGGGTTCTCGAGGGGGGCGTCGTCGGCGATGTAGACAGTTTCCATGAAAGGCATGAGGTGGCTAGGCAGGTTGATGAAGCAGCGGTCAATAGTAGACTCATTCTTGTTAGCCTCCGATATATGCGTCGTCGAGGAAGTCACGATCTCGATGACGTCGCGGAACAGGTTGCGCCAGAAGACTGGTTGGTACTGATAACGCTGTGATGCTGTGGTTTCTGAGTCGACAGGCGTGTTGATCGAACGTGGCGGGAACTCGGAGACGTTGAAGTCGCCGACGATGACAAGAAGCCGCTGCTGAGGGACTTCGTCAGCATGATGGCGAAGAGCGTGCCAATGGTCACGCAAGAGAAACCGATCTGCTGGAGTCAAGCCGAAGTTGTGAATGTTGAGGACGGTGACTTCGTGCTGGAGGCTGGCATCCGTGGTCCGAAGCCACGCGGCACGGCCAGGGATGGCGACCCCAAACCTGAGCTGAGGCCGTTCGTCTGGAGGAAGTTGAAGCTCTGCCTTGTCGTAGGGGACGAGGAAGCCAATGCCGCCAGCGTTAGTCATGGGCGCGCCGTTGACCATCACGGGCGAGTGGAAAGCTTTGTGCCGATGCTGGGTAGAGTTCGCCAGCAGCTTTAGGTCATCCAGCGTTCCATGAGTCTCTTGCACTGCGATAAGAGCTCGTTGGCGAAAGTATGGTAAAAGTTGATGTCGTTTGTCGGCGCGACGTAGAGCGGACTGTCCGAGAAGCGCTTGCGAGTTCCAGAATGCGATGTTCAGGCCCTCCTGCGAGGGCTTCAGGAGCCATGGGCTCCACCGAAGGCTAAAGCCACTGTGCGGCAGAAAGGGGGTCTGCGAAGTTGCTGATGAACTCGGCGGCGATCTGCTTCTGGTCATCTTCGGAAATGCCATGTTTGTTGGCGGCCTGTGACCACTGGAGCTTAGTAGGAACATCAGCATTGCTGCCAACAATAAGGCGAACCAAGGCTTCACCGCGGCACGATATGTAGCCCAGGGTTCTGTGTGTGCGCGCACCGAGGTCTGGCTTGAAGTTCTGCATGATCTTGGCGAGGCGCTTGATCTGGACCTCCGTGCGGACGGCCTTCGGGCTCTTGTCGGCAGATACATATAGAGGAACGTATTTGTCATTACCAAAATCGAGAGTGAATGTGCGCCAATCCTTTCCATTACGCAGAGCATTATGAAGACGATGTGCCCAAGGTTCCGCAACCACTGTGCCCCCGCTGACCTGAAACGAGTGGCGCTTGGAGGGGCCGACCGTGTTGAAAATAACCATGTCCTTCTTGATGTTGGCGGCCTAGAACCATGGGGTGAGAGCTTTTTTCCAGATGTTGCTGACTGAACTCCTGCGGACTGCTGCACCAGAAGGTGGTGATGTCGGGGTCGCGGCCCCAGCTGCCCAAGCCGTCCAGGTTGAGGGCGGGAGCGCGTGCTTCTGCTGCTGTGATGATGGATTCGAGCTTGGCAACGGCGGCCTTGAGTTCGGAGTTCTGCTCTTCCAAGGCATTGGTGCGGAGCTTGACTGCGGTGATGTCTCGTTTTGTAGCTTCGTGACGTCTGCTGAGGTCGGACGTGATCTGCGTGAGTGAGGCGAGGAACTCTGAGCTGGCCTTTGCTGTGACTGCCTTGGCTGTGGCCTCGAACTTTTCGGTGGCGTCTTTGATCTGGGCGGTCATGGTCTCCTCAAGCTGCTTTCGAACATGTGCTGGGAGGTCGTGAACTGCGAGTTTGGATGCGCTGTCATGCCATGGGTCTTGTTGTCGCTTGACTGGATCAGTGGCTCCGTCTCTGGGGGTCGATGCAGCGCTGGCCAAGCAGTCGACGGGGGGACCCATGCTGTCGGCGTCCGCGAAATGAGGCCCGCGCCAGCCTCTGGTGGCAATCCACCGATGTGCGCGTGGAGGAGACTGCAGGCGAATGCAGCACCAGATATGAAGCTCGACCTGCTGGGCAGCAGGAAGGCGAGGATATGAAAGCAAGTCCTTAGCTGTCCCTGGACCAAGGGTCTCCGTGCTCTGCCACGGGGCGAAAACATCTTGAGCCAAAATGGCTACGGAGGGGGGAGGAGGCAGGAGGAGGAGCCATGGACGAAGAGGAGGAGCCATGGACGAAGATGAGGACGAGGAGGAGGAGGCAGGAGGAGGCGAGAGGAGGACGGCGGCGACGAGGGGCTGGAGCCACCTTCCGGGGCGCCCCCGCCGTCCGCGGTCGGCCGCCGCGCGCCGCGCACCAGCAGGTGAACCTCTCGGGGGGGGGGGGGCGCTCTCGAGCGGGTCGTTTCTTGTGTCTTGTTGTTGCTGTTTTTTTGTTCTCTCTCTCTCTCTCTCGCTATCTCTTTCTCTCTCTCTCTCTCTCTCTCTCGCTCTGATCGAGGCCCTGCCTTTCCAAACGAGAGCGCGACCCGGGAGCTGATTGCCTCGAGCGCAGGCGTGCGTTTTGGCAAGAGGAGGCGCCGATCAGCTGAAAAAGGGTGAAACACCGTCAAGATGGGCTGCCGTTCCTCCACCCGCGTCCCCGCCCATAGTACTCAGACTCTGTCCCGCTCGAGGCTCTACCCGCATTGCTCCTCAGCGCAGTCAGGCTGCTGCGACACATGTTCCCAGATAACAAAAGGCCAACTGGTGTTGGGGGATCAAAAACAATTACTCTTCAGGAATGAAAGCTCAACAACAAAAAACATGTCCGTGGTCCCAGAAATCCACGTTAATCCAACGAGACGTCATCTGGAGATCTTCGGCGGCAACAAAATAATGATAAGAGCCAATACCAAAAAAACGCCCAAAAGCATCCTCGACCCTCGATCCCATCTCAACCAACAAGGTGCACTCTCAGCCTGAAGAAATCCTGAAAGCATGAGACAACGGCAGCTCAAAATCGGTTCCGAGACCCCTCCTGGGGCCCAAACGCATCCATTTTTCCGAACTGCGTCCAGCCGTAGCGACGAGGGCCCCCCCCGGAGGCCAACTGCCGTCATCTCACGTCGCCCTCTTCTTAAAATTAGAGTTCCAGGACCTCAGGGACCCTCGATCCCCCTCGATCCCCTGCCCTGTCAGAAGCCAAACGTACCGATACTACTACTCCACGGACCTCTCCCAGGATGCGCTCTGACCAGCATGCCAGGGCGAATCCAACGGTGGCGACGAAGGCACCCCAGGAGGCCCAAAATAGCGAAAACGAGGCAGGGGTAGCGGTATCCGTACCTTTCTCCTCTTCTGGATGGCCGCGGCGCCGTCGCGGCAGGCAGCGTCGAGACGCCCTGCGATGCCAGCGTCTGGGGGCCGCACAGCTCGGCCCCGTCGTGGAGCAGGCGCTGTCGGTCGGCCGGGATGCCCAGCCACTCCTCCAGCCTTGCCTGCGACAGGCGCGCGGGCGGCGCTTCCCAGACATCCAGAGCAGCTCTTGGCATCTCTCCTGCGACGCTGCGACACGAAGAGTCCAGCAGTCATGTGCTCGAGAGGCACAGCGGAGGACTGGGGCACAGGGCAGGAGCAACGAGAGACAGAAGCGGAGGGACGCGAATGCGGATGCGGATGCAGCGGTGCGGGGGTCACCCGCGCCCGGTCCCCTGGAGGGCGGTCGGGCTCTGGGAAGGGGGGGAGAGGAGGGAGAGCAAGGGAGGGAGGGAGGGAGGGAGAGGAAGGTAGGGAGGGAGGAGGGAGGGAGCAAGGGAGGGAGGGAGGGAGGGAGAATGGTGAAGTGGGCAACTCACCCCCCTCCACGGCAAAAACACCACACAGGGGCGAACCCGAGGCAGGCCTTCACGGATAGAGGTGAAAACCTACTCTACCCAACACACACTTCTTCCGTAAGCGGCGAGGCGGCGGAATCCGCCCCAGCGCAACAGCTAGGTAGGGGCACCAAATAGCGAATCACACACACACACCAAAAGAAGCCCTCCCAGCCATCCTCCCGCCGCCTAGCCCTCGCGCGGGGGCTGCAGGACGTCGTGGCCGACGCGCGCAACGGGGCGGGCGCAGGCGCAGAGGGGAGAGGAGAGCGGAGGAGGCAAGGGGCCCCAAGACCAAACCAGACATCGGGGGCCGGTGACATGTAGGAACCAGAAGGCCTCTCCTTTGCCTCCCCCGAGCCGAGGGTTTTCGTCCATATTCATGCCCCGAGGTCCTCACCCATCGATCCAGCTCGAAAATGGTGCAGAAAGATGGGGTCTAGGGCTCCAGTCGCGAATTCTCGCGATTTCTCAACTTTTTCGAGACGTCGGATATCAGGGTCTTCAGGTGCCCACAAACATGAGAGAAAGGCCTGGGGGGAGGCACGGCGGAGACTGCAAGCGATGCCAGCAAGGCCATGCCGCGCCGCAAAGTGTGCCCTCCAATTGTCCTCGGTGAAGCCCCACCCCCACTCCCCCCATCCTAGACGAGCACGCTCCGCTACTCGCAAAGTAACTACTCGCAAATGGCCTGGATACGCCGCGGGGGATCTACGATAAATTACATCAAAGCCGACATATATGTTTCAGACGTTTGCGAGTAGGCACTTTGCGAGTAGTGGAACGCGCTGGGTGACATTCCCTACCCCCACCTGAGGAAAGGTGCTCAATGCTTGATTTTCCGAACACGGGTCTCTGAGGCGTGTGAGGGGTGTGCCGACGTGTGCGCGGGGACGCGTGTGAGCACTGACACTGGAGCCTTCGGTGGAGCTCTTGAATGAAGCCACAGAGCGCGCGAAGGGTGTGCCTAAGTGGGCCTGGGAACGCGCGTGAACCCTGCCACTGGGACCTTCGGTGGAGCGCCCTATGGGGCCACGAAGCGTGTGAGGAATGTGCCGAGATGGGTCTGACGATGGTCGTGACAATGACGATGACGATGACAGTGTAACAATAACAGTGACAGTGACGACGACGACGACGCTGCTGCTGCTGCTGCTGATGATGGTAATGATGATGGTGATGACAATAATGATGACGATGACGATGACGATGACGATGATGATGACGATGACGATGACGATGATGATGATGATGATGCTGATGCTGATGACGATGACGATGACGATGACAATGACGATGATGATGATGACGATGATGATGATGATGATGATGATGATGATGATGACGATGATGATGACGATGACGATGATGACGATGATGATGATGATGATGATGATGATGATGACGATGACGATGACGATGACGATGACGATGGCCCTGGAGCCTCCCGAGGACCCGAGGGCCCTCGCTTCTCGAGGTGTTCACGCTGGCAGGCAAAACACCGGGCACGAGCATGCAACCAACAGGAGCAGTGGTAGGGGAACAAAAAGGGACATAAACATAAAAACTCGGACCCCCCCGCGCGGATTTCTCGGATCGGCGCTGGACCCCCTCCCTGGCGCGCGGAGCGCGCCAGGGGCGGCGCCGGAGGCGCCGCCGGGGGGCCCCAGCGCCGATCCGAGAAATCCGCGCGGACCTCCGAGTTTTTCTGTGTATATCATTCTTCGTGCCCTTAAATGGGGCAGGAGAGGGGATCAGGACATGTGAAAGTAGGCCTGTTCGTACCCTCGGGGAGAACTTTGCCGTGCAGGGAGAAGGATGGGGATCGATTCGTGAAGGACGGGAGCAGCGAGCGGACAATCAAAGCAAAGCAGTGAAGAATACGACCTCCTCGGACCGCACCACATCCCAACCTGGTGCCCTACCGGTACCTAGCAGTGGCGCCAAGAAGCGGACACATCTTGCTGGCAGCCAGCACCGTATTGAACGCAATATCAAGACGGCGAGAAGATGGGAAGCCCGGAGAGGCCCAGGAGCGAGGGACCGACGCGGGAAGCGGGCAGGGATCGACGCGGTGAGCGAGCACGGAGAGCGGCAGGGCCGCAAAGGATGACGATAATGATATGAAGATGGTGGTGGTGATGACGATGGTGCTGACGGTGATGATCATGTTGGGATGGTTATGGTGAGGATAAAAAAGGTGATGATGATAATGATGACGACGATAACGATGACGATGTCGATGACAATGACGATGATGATGATGATGCTGATGCTGATGCTGATGCTGATGATTGTCAGCATGATCACGATAATAATCATGATCATGATACTGATGATAATGATGATAATGATGAGGATAGCGATGATGATGATGATGATGATGATGATGATGATGGTGATGATGATGATGACGATGGCGATGGCGATGATGATGGTGATGAGGATTACGAAGATGATGATGATGATGATGATGATGATGATGATGATGATGATGATGATGATGATGGGATTGTTATGATGGTGATGATGAACATGACGATGGTAATGATGGTGATGGTGATGGTGATGATGATGATGATGGTGATGATGACAATGGTGGTGATGATGACGATGATGTTCATGGTGACGATGATGATGACTATGATGCTGTGATGGTGCTGACGATGATGCTGTTGGTGGTGATGGTGATGCTGGTGATGCTGATTATGATGATAAGGATTATGATAATAATGATAACAATGCTAATGATAATGGTGGTGATGATGGTGCTGATGGTGATGATGATGGTGGTGGTGATGATGGTGAAGAGGAGGAGGAGGAGGAGGAGGAGGAGGAGGACATGCGGAGGGCAGAGGTAAGGATTGGGGAGAAAAGGAAGGAGTGAGCGGGAGGAGGAGGTGTGAGACGCGGGGCGCTGCGAATTCAAAACGAGAACCCCACACCACAAGATGGCTGGGAAAAGCGCACCGGAAATCACGACCACAGCCCTGGACCCCTCGGCAATGCTCGAGCCAGATCGATCCGTGAGGGGCCCCGGGGCCCGAGGCCCGAACTCGCGCAAAAGCGCCTGGTGTGACAACAATGTGGCGGCAGGATCTCAGGGAAAGGGCGGACAAAGACATCTTCGAGCCTCGAAACCCCATCCGAGCCTCTCGATCCTCGATCCTCGAACCCCTATCCAAAGTCCTCGATCCCCGGACCCCGATGTCCTCGATCCTCGAGCTCCGATCCAAACATCACAAGTAATTAGGCTCGATCCTAGATCCCCGAACCCCGATCCGACACCCTCCCCTCTCCTCCGCCGCCGCCACTTTTCGTGACACAGGCCCCCAGGGACCTCAATCCCTTCCCCAGGGCCGGCTTTCCATCCTGAGTCGCTCTTTGGGAGACGTAAGACTCGGGTATGGGGAACTCGGGTGGCCTGACTGGGCCATCACGAAAACGACGAAACTCAATCTGAGAGTTGACGCGAGCTCCCGCTGCAAACATCCTACGAAAGCTGGACCGTCAAGATCCAGGTCGCCCTCGTCAAAAAGCGTCGGCAAACCCGAGCTCCAGCGCACTCGAGTCTGAATGACGGGCGTGATCGGGGAAAGGGTGGGCTGTTCGTCCCCCCCGAGCACACCACGGCGGGGAGCCGCCGGACATCTCAGGAGATCCTCGAAGAACTCGTGGGAAAAAAGGTGGGCAAAACGGCGTGACGTGATCCGGGGCGGGGGGGGTGGAGGGAGAGGGCCGATCACGGCCGTTCTCGTTCGGTCGGGCATGCCCCCTACAGGCGGATTTTGGGCGAAAACTTCAACATACCCCAAAAATGTGCAAACAAAATCCTCAAACATGTTATATATATATATTTATAGTAATATATATATATATATATATATATATATATATAATTTTTTAAATGTATATATATAAATTAACAAAAACAAAAAACAAAAAACACGCCCCCTGACGATTTGTTGGGCCATCTTTGCATCTTCCTCCTGTGGAGGGACACGCCCGACGGAACGCTGCCGCCCAGGCCACAGGACAAGCCGGGCTCTTCCCCGGAGTCTCTGCCGGTGCCGGGGCCGAGGGGCAACCTCCGGATGCCGAGGAGGCCCAAGAGCCGGCCGTCGCGAGGTTCCCGCGTCGCCCGGGTCCGAGGGCCCTCCTCCTCCTCCTCCTCCTCCTCCTCCTCCTCCTCGCAATCCGTCTGGCCCCTATGGGCCGCCAGACATAGCAGAAAACCAAAACCCCGACACAAACTGAATCCATAGTTTCTCTGATTGTATTACAATTGCGAGTATTATTACTCTTGCTAGTAATACTGACAATAGTAATACATTAGAATACCCGTCTGAGTCTTCGCAGTATGGATATGGTTGCCATATATACTGAAATGTGTTAGCATTACCCTTATCATTGTTCTCATTCCATTACGTCTTCTGCTTACGATCATTAATACTCAAATCAGTACTAGTATACCATTCGTAGTATTGATAAAAATGTTCATAATATTAGTAGTAGTAGTAGTAGCAGCAGCAGTAGTAATAGTAGTAAGAGTAGTAGTAATAATAGTATTAATAGTAATAGTAGTAGTAGTAGTAGTAGCAGTAGTAGTAGTAGTAGTAGCAGTAGCAGTAGCAGTAGCAGTAGTAGTAGTATCAGTACCAGGAGCAGTAGTAGTAGTAGTAGTAGTAGTAGCATTCGTACCCGTATGAGTTTTACCATCAGCATCATAATCATCATCATCAATTTTATTTCTACGACTATATTTATAAGTATTGCCGATTTTATTATTAGTAGTAGTATTATGTTTCCTCCTCCTTCTCCTCCTTCTGCTCCTCCTCCTCCTTGTCCTCCTCCTCCTCCTCCCCCTTTCCCTCCTCCTTGCCCTCCTCCTCTTCCCCAGACATCCGGCTGCTACAATGTGTTCGATGCGTGGCGAGGTCCCGACCACTTCCCTAATTCGGGCCGGTTGTGCGTCCCGAGTCGCTTGCTGACGGCCCCGAGGCCTGGCGAGGGCTCCCGGAGGCCGAAATCAGCCCAAAGCCGCCCGCTCCGATTTTTTCGGAGCGCCGGATCTCTGGGACTCCTCCCGCCCGCGCAGTTCCGGGGCAGGCCCAGCGAGGAAGCGCCTTCAGGCCGTCGACCGTGTGGCACGGCTCCGCCCCCAGCAGCAGCGGCTGCTCCCCCGAGAGGGTGCTCACGCGCACCCCGCGGAGGCCAGCGGGGGCGGCGGGACCTGCGGCCCGGGCGCCGCAACGAGATCTGGACGATTCCCCGAGATCCCGAGGGTCGGGATTTTGATCCCCCGACGCTCCAGACCAAATGGAGCGGGCGGTTTATGGCCGTTTTCGGCCTCCGGGGGCCCTTGTCGGGCCTCGGAAAGCGTCACAAGACGACCCGGTACGCAAATCCGACCCTATAGTTTGGTCGGGCGTGTCCCCCTACAGGCGGACTTTGAACGAAAAAATACATCGAAAAAACTCAAACATACTCAGAAATGGTCAGAAAATCGTCCTCCGACTAATTTTTAAAACTATTTTGGAATATTCCTCCTTAGAGGGACATGCCCGACTCAACCCTATAGGGAAGTGGTCCAGACCTGCTGGCCCACGCATCGAACAGTTGGAGCAGCTGGACGCCTGGGAGGGGTCCTTCGCCCTCTTGGGGGCCTCTGCGAGGCTCTCCTCGTCGCCGCGGGCTGGATTCCCCTCGCAGCTCTAGTCAGAACGCACGCACCCCTTGCGAGGCGGCAGTAGATCCACATCCACCGCCTGTGGAACCGACGGGCGGGCATATATCCATATCCACCGCCTGTGGAACCGACGTGCTGGGACCCCAGCGGGCGATGGCTATGGACAGATGTGGCCCCCCCAGGGCCCAAACATGTCCACATCCACCGCCCGCCGACGTCGCCGAAGGTCGACCCCCCAGGCGGTTGTTATGGATAGATCCCCGCCGCGGACCCTTGGCGGAAGCCCAGGGGTCGCATTCGAAGAGAAGAACCCAGAGCTTGGGCGGCGCGCGAGGGGGGGGGGAGAAGGAGAAGGCCCTCTCGGAAGGCGGCGGGGCCTCTCAGAAGCCCTGGCGTTATGTTGTTCCCCTCGTACTGAAGGACCACATCCCAAACATCATTTCGAACACCCAGGAAAAGTATCGAAGCAGTGTCGTGCGAGTATCGCCTCCCAGGGCCCGACATGTGAAAACCCTCCAGTTTCGGCACTTTCTTGGTGCTCGACGTTCTTTCTGGTGATCTATGCTAAAGTTGGAGTCCCGACACGGTGCGGTGACAGACCGTGCGGTGACCTCGAAATCCCCCAAGACCTCACCGCACGGTCCGTCACCGCACGGTCTTGGGACCCCGGAGGCCCCTGTCGCCCGAGACATCCTCGGAGAACGACCCGAGTCCCAAAACCGTGCGGTGACCCCGAATCCCCACCGACTCACCGCACGGTGTGGTCACCACCCCGTTTGGGGGTCCCCGACTGGAACATCATGACCCTCGCGCCATCTGAGAAGTCTCCTGCGCCTCTGGGGGAGGCTCCGAGATCTTCTCCAGAAAGCCAGGGGCCTACCTCCGAGCCTTCTGAGCAGGCCCGCCGCCTCTCGCATCCCCCCCAGGACCTGGCCAGCGATCGTCCTCCTCCTCC